CACGGCTGAGCCGCCTCGGGGGTTCGAGGGGATTGACCTGTGCTCTGGAAATTCATCTCTGGAGTTCTGGGAGCTTCTGGTGAGGCTTTTTCACAGCCCCTCTTAAAACCTTCGCGCAGAGGGTGGTGTAAGTGTTGGGAGATGTCACGATATTGCCCCCACCCCAGGGGAAGGGGGGAGCCACAAGGCGAGTGTTCTGTCGTGGGAGTTTCTTTGAAACTTGACGGTCCTATGACTTAAACCTCACAAGATGTTTGTCTCTATTAGTCAGGAGTGTTTGCTGGTACCAAGTATGCATCTCTGGAGCGGATATTAAAGTCATTGCCATCCTTTCTCTCTGTAAAGTTCTCTTGGTAGTGAGATAATTAGCTCAGGTGAAATCTGTCATGTAACATGAAAAGAAGAGCATTAGACTATTTGTTGCCTATGCAGTCAAAATTTATTTTGTATATCAGCTGGAAATAAAACTCTGAAATAAGTATTAATGGTATTGCTGTTTTTCTTAGGATTTGAAGATGTCTAAAAAGAAACTGAAGAAATCAATGGGAAAGGAAGACTGTTTGGATGGCCAGGATAACAAAGTAGGAACAGCTGTATTATTACTATTAAAATTGTTATAATCAAAACCTCCATATTCAAGAGAAGAGTATGAATTGTTTAGCAGTCTTGTGATAGAAGGATGAAACACATTTAAAGATGGGGTCATGAAGAATGGAAAGATGGTTGAATTGGTCAGGTGACTAGCTTTGGTTTTCTCCAGAGGCTATGAGCAGTGTGGGTATGAGAAAATAAGGGATTTCTTAATTTTGTTGTATCTTCCTGGCTGACAAACTGTTGAAACTGTTACCAAACTGCTTGCCGTTTTACTGCGTTGTTCTTTATCTTGGATCATATATTTTAATATCCTGATTAATCATGAATTGTACTTGGCAATGTTTTAGCAAGCAACTCAAATATTTCCTTTTAGCCACTGAGACATAAATCAATGACCAAAATTCTTGGTATGCTGTCAGCTTTCCCTGAATTGCTTGTAAAATGCAGTACTACAGGAGTGATAACCTTTCTGGTCACACTTGCATGTAGCTTCTCATTCCTTTTTATTGTTTGTATCCCCTTCTGGGAAGTTATTCCCTGCCAGTAGTGTAATATATATCTAATAAAGCAGTAACTTAATAAATCCACACTTAAGTTTGCTAGAATTTTTTCTTCCCCTTTGGATTTTGTAAGGTATTGGTAAAGAAGTGCAATCTGAATCCTGAGTTTCCCAAAGTAGAGTCTCAGGCATCGAATCTGATAAAAATAAATAATTTAACAGAACGGTACAGCAGCAGGGTCAGCTCCAGGTGGGTGCCTCCAGAGAGGGACCCCTCGGTTGTTTCCCTGTGCTTTTTAAAGCCTCACAGTTTTTTTACATAGGTTGTTCATGCAAAAAGTATGTGCCTTTTGTTTGGCCACATTGTTTAATGGTTACTTGTCCTCTTCCATGATGGGTGGTTTGGTGCAGGTAACTTTACTTACTCAGTTTCCTAATCTTTTTGTTCCACCTGCACCTGGAGCTCATCTGTCTTCTGCTGACTCCAGGTAGAATGGTCTCTTTTGTCAATTACTTTGATCATAATGGCCACTCTGATTTATATCGTGAAATACGCAGTCTTCGTTAACATTATTTGTATGATCTTGTTGCACTAGCTCAATTACAATGTAGGAGTCATCAAAACTACTTTCAGCTATTTTTCTGCCTGAGAAAGGCGTTGAGCTGAAGTCCATTAACTTCTAGGTCACAGCTTGCGGCTGAAGACTTGGGCAATCTAAGCGAGTTAGCTACCGATGTTAGCCAAAGCACATAATTCACATAACTAGCTTTCCTTTAGTTACCAACATGTATATGAGAAGTCAGAGAGATTTTAACTGTTTGATCATAAATGTATCAAAAAATCTTCATCTTAAACAGGATGGGATACTATGGCCTTATGTTAGAAGCCTTTTGCTCACATAGAAAATATTATTCAAAGCCAAATATTTGTAACTTCTTTTCTTCTCCCAAATTCCTTGTCATTATTCAAGTTGTCTTTTAACATCAACTTACCCTAAGGGGAGGGCTTTTTTTTTTTTTTTTTAAACTTCCGTAGTACAAACAGTAAGAAAGGCTTAAAACCTCGTACTGTAGCTGTATTGCCATTGTGAATGCCTGTACCACTTTGAGGAGTGCGGAGCTTTAACTGCTGCACGGCTTCAGTCTGCCTGAGACCGCGTTAAATACTGCTGTAGGCAGACATTGACCAGTGCAAGCAGCAGTGAGAACCCAAACTAATAATAGCAAAAAGGTAAGGAGACCTCTGAACAGTAGCAAGTGATTGCAGTGTGGATAAGAGGTATCTCCAATTCTTAGAGGTCAGAGTAAGGCATTTAAGTAGAGTCGTATTTAGGCATGAATGTGCGGGGGCTTTTATTTCTGGTTTTGCATGGTGTGAGCATGACCACAGGTTACAGAAAACTTAACTCCTGTTGGCTTTTAGCAGTTTGGCATATAATTCCTTAAGTATGAGTGAAAGGACGTTTGTCGCAGTGTAATTAGAACAGCTTTACACAGAGCTGTCTGGAGGAGTCGGCACAGCTACCTCTTGGTAACATGGCCTGAATAACACCAAGGTGATATGATAGCTAGGGAGTCATAAACAGAACACCTCAACCAGACTGAGAGGTCGTTTACCCCAAACCAATAATGTTGGGATGACAAAATTCAGTGAAAACCAGGGATTTGCCAAGAGAATTTTGAGAAGAGAAGGCACTGGATTGAAAAGAGAGAAAACAGTAACAGAGCAGCAGTCAAACTGGGCTTGATAGTGTCAGCAGCCCACATTCTCCAGCTGGCAGAGTGACAGCATGGGGGTGGCATTCTGTCAGATCCCACACCTTGGGTGTGCAAGTGTGACCTCGTGGGGGGGTGTTTCCCAGCAGTGTGTGTGCTAGCAGGCTGTAGGAAGCGCTACGGCTGCCGTGCACACGACTGGAGCCCCCACACCTTCAACAGTGTGATTGTGGATGCCAAAGCACATTGCTAGGTGTGCAAGATTAAAACTTACTGGTGCCAAGTCATCTGACCTGGCATTGTTTTGTAATTGCCTATTATTGTAGTTTTTCTGTTGTGTTGCTAATATTGAACCTGAGTGTGTAAATCACTGCTTACCAGTTAATTGGTTGTTAATAAACCAATAAAACACTTTGATTCCTTTTTGATTATAATCATATGGGTTGAACAGGCCTTCCTGCAGCAAGTTGCATCAATGTGGTTTGCAGTGAGAGCAGCCTTTCACAGCCTCTCAAATTATGATTTCATTGGTTTTGCTGCTGTTAGAACTCCAGAGCCAACCACAGGCAGAAGTTCTCAAGATTTCCCTTAACTGTTAGAGTTACAGAAACCAGCGGAGTCCTTTTTATTTTCTTTAATGAGGTGCTTTCTAATGAGGAAGTGGAATAACTAAGGCCTTGTAGGCCTTTGCAGGCCTCTCTAATTAGGAAGATCTCTGCAGCAGTGACCTGATGGCTTCACCGAGTCAGCTTGACCCAATTATTCACCAAGTGAATTGTTTGTAAAAGGATGTACTGTCTGGATGTACTCCTTTATAATACGAGTACCGACTGGACTTCCTTGTCTGAAATAATCCGTGTGTTGATGATCACTGTTGCAATTTCCTACAACCTGCTGTAGTTTTGGGAAAACTGAGTCATATAACCTAAAGGTATATAAAAATTAACTGCCTTGCTGGGCAGAGTTCGTGTCAGCAGAAACTGTTATTTTGCTGCTCTGTGTTCTTTCTTGTGGTTGCAATAATGAACCACTTGCTGTTAAGACCTGAACAAAGTCGCTTTTCAGTTACTCTGCAATATCAGTGTGATGCAGTTTGCAATACAAATAAGCCAAGCAGTGATAGAACTGCTCCCTAAACAAGGACTGTTCATGTTCCTTCTTTGGGGACTATATTTGCTCTTAACGAAGCCTACATGATTGCAGTTTCACACTATTCCACCTAGGGAGTAAATCTGATGAGAATTAATAACACATCTCTTCTGCATAAAAAGCTCCCACAGAAATATCTTCTCTTTGGCCTTACCCAAGGGGTAGCTGAAAGCAGTCTTCAGGTAACTTTCGTGTCCCTAAGAATTTTTATAAATATACAAAATTGTCTATTTTTGCATACTGTTATACTTCTGGGGTATATGAAACATGAATCCTAAATATGTTTAATTAATGGAGCTTTATTTATAACTCAGGACTTTTTCCCCTTGTGTTGTTCTTAAATATAATAAAACCTAAATACTAAATTATAGCAAGGTATGTGACTGCCTTTTTCGAGGTTAGCTTACTCAAAATCATAGCGAGTTTAGTATGAAGTAATAGCTTGTTCCGTCTTACAAAGGTTATTTTAAAATGCAGCTTCCTCTAAGCCTCTGGATTTTTTCCTTCTTTCAGAACTCTGAAGACACAAGATCTTACAAACATACTATGAAAGGAGAGACAGAGTTTCAGAGGTAAATTCTCTCTGTGTCATTAAATGGAAGTGCTTAAAAATAAAACATCCACAGACTTTTTTAATACTGAGTTTAAGAATTGTGTTTGACTTGTTCACCCACCAATAAAATATGGTATTTTAACTGATGAAGTGTTAGCATTGCATTGATGAGTGGATACTATCTAAACTGGGTGGTTTTAAATATTTGAGAGGACAGGGTCCAGATTTCTTTTTTTTAACACCAGTGTATGTTACTACACTTCATATAAAGTAGGAATTACATACTTCCAATGCTGGTTTCATAAAAAGATTAATTTCTTTTTTTGTCTTGAGCACTACTTTGTTGCTCTGTTTTGCCTATTACTTGTGTTTTATTAGAAATAAAATCTCCAGTGAAGCCTGGAGGATAATTCTCCAGTGAACTTGGTGCCTTTAATCTGTTCCTGAAGTTGTGGGTTTCTTCTGATGCTTGAAGTAATTGATTCCAAGGCAAAGAAAGCAAGTCCTTCACCTTGAGTCTACCAAGTCTAAACACTGTTTGAAAACTACTTCACATAAAGTGAGAATGTTCTCATGGATCTGGAGATGGAAAAGCTTTGTATCATTTCTTAAACATGGCAAAATCTTGTTGCAGTTTCTCTTAGACTGAACTGTTCTAAGCCGTAGGGGCTTTAGCTGTATGTGTACATGCCAAAACTCTGACCAGTACCCATCTCTGACAGCAGCCAGGAAGGAAAATGTGAAACAGGACAAATATGAAATGATTTTTCCTGTTGTATGTCCTTCCAGCTTCTAAGAACGAGTTAGGGGTCTCTGAAGTTGGAAGCTGGATGCCAATCAGCACATTGAAGTCACCTGGCCTGTATGGCTGTCAAATGGCCTTTACCTCCCTAACATTTTTGACAACACTATTACTGAGCAGGGTAGAAACTTTCTCTGAGGATTTTAAACCTAGTGTATGGTAAATTTCACTGAGTATATTCTCTGCTCTTACTCAGTTTTCATACTGTTCATGATTTCTGTGGAATTTTGCTATATTCCCATCAGTCATTCTTTTTCCAAGTTCTCTGGTCTTTTTGTGGTGCACTGTTTGAAATCTGTGTACTGTCTTGACACCAGGTGACCAAGCTGAACAGCACCCCACTCACGGTTTAGGATGACACACCTCATATATCTTCAAACTATTGTTAAAACTTACCAGTGTGAGAAGGTGAAACTAGGCTTTGTAGGGCATCTCAGACCAGTAGATAAGGAATAGAGAAAAAGCTTTGTGCCAATTTTGTAAGCCAAAATAGCTGCAGGGCTAAGAAAAATGTAAATGTTAACAATGTATCAAACTATTTTAAAGGACAGATGTTGCTGTAAGTTCATATTTAAGAACATACCAAACTGATGCTGATTAATACTTTGCTGTAACTGCCCAAATCAAGTGCAGGCTATTTTTATTTGTTTGTTTTGTTCTGTTAGGTTAACTAAACTAGATTACATTGGTTTTTTCATAATGTTTCTATAGATTCAAAACAGAGAAAGATGGGGAAGAGAAGAAGAAAGACAAACATTCTACTATTCCTCATGTCACCGGTGGGAGATCCCAAGAGAAATCTCCAAATAGAAGCAAAACCACAGACAATGCGTTAATCCAAACTGAAAAGCAAAAGAAAATAGTTATTCAGTTTAAAGCCAAAGAAATTAAACATGGGAAAAGTACACGCACTCCTGATGTAGTAACTGCTAGCAGGGAAGGTCGTTTTGGTGGGACAGAGGGAAAAAGACTCTGGCATAGCTTTGAGCTTCAGAGGGACAAGGCACGAAAGAAAAAGATGGAGAAAGTTGAACTTTGCAAACTAAAGTTAAAAGCAGAAAAAACTATGTTGGAAAAGTTGAAGTCATCTGTGTATGAATCTCACATAACAGGTAGAAAGGCAGATGGATCAAAAAAACAGAGTGAGGACGTCAGGATTCCAAAAAAATCGCCTGACACCTCTGCAGGGAGTGCATGTGATGATAGGCCTTTCACTATAAAGCCAAATACATCACCTAGGACTTGGGAAGAAGAAGATGAAGAAAAATGTAGGGAATTTTCTAAGAAAAAACGGCATGCAAATAAACAGGCACCGTCACGCTCTTCAACTGAAACAGCACAACAGTGGGACTCCTATAAACGGAAAAAAAGGGATGCTGATTTCAAGAAAGCTACTGGCAATTCAGGGACTGAAGCAAGGGACTTTGAAGCCACAGCATTATGTTTTAAGCAGGTAAAAAGAACGCAATTCTTTGTTTTATGCAAGTAGATGTTTCAGGCCAGTTTCTGAACAGTTTTTATAAGGCAGGCAGTTTTTATGTATGCAGGCTGTCTTACAGATTTCATACAGGATTACGTAGCTAACTGGATGGATTTTTCTGATCCTGGTGTAAACTGTGTTGAAATGTTCCTCTTCTCTGCTAAATGGTTAAACAAACTAGAAGAAGAAAAGTCGTTTATTTAGGACTGTGTCTCACATATGCTTCCATAGCTTTACGTTGCTGCGGGGGGTGTGAAATACTTCCAGTTTAGGTATAAGTCAACAGGGTGGGTTTTTTGAGCTACCATGGTTCTATCATTTTTTTTGAATGAACAAACTGAAACAATGAGAACTTGTTCATTGCTAACAAAGTGATGCCAGGATTAAATGCTTAGGTTTCCCGCGGAACTTCACATTTGTCTGTGATTGGTTTGTTTCTGAGTTCTAGCTTGCTTTTGACTCTGCGTCCCCGACTTTGTCTTGAGCCTGGCTAGTTTTTATTTTTGTTCTCATTTAACATGCCTAGCATTTTTTGAGATACTGGTTCGCATTACAGTAGTATGATTGTTCTGTGAGTACACAAAGACAGTAATTCCATACAGAATCATGGCATTGTTAAGGTTGGAAGGCACCTCTGGAGATCATCTTGTCAGCCCCTTTGCTCAAGTAGGGGCAGCTAGAGCAGGTTGCCCAGGACTGTGTCCAGTCACATTTTGAATATCTCTAGTGATGGAGACTCCACAACCTCTCTGGGCAGCCTGTTCAAGCACCTCCACTGGAAAAAGAAAATGGAGATCGGAATGTTTGGGTGGAATTTGTTGTGTTTCAGTTTGTGCCTGTTGCCTTTTGTCCTGGTGCCACCTACTTTACACCCTTCCATCAGGTACTTATAAACATTGATAAGGCTCGCCCTTCTCTTCTCCAGGCCAAATGCTCCCAGCTCTTCCAGCCTCATGTATGACATAGCTCAGTCCTTTTATCATCTTAGTGACCCGTTGCTCAATTCACTCCATTAAATTCATGTCTGTCTTGAAGCAAGAAAAACGTAGTCACAAATGCACAAGTGACTGGAAAAATGAGCTTACTGCGTAAGGCACGATTTTTGTTTTAAAAGAAAGCCAACCTTCTAAGCCCTTTTGAAATGATACTGTAGATGCTTCCTCATGGATGTCGAAAGTAATGCTGTTTGTTCCCTTTTCAATTTACCTGGGAATATTCACTATTTGCTAGAAGACTGATACGCATTCTATTTCCATTCCTATCTTTTTGTAGAATGTTGAGGTTCCATGCACATCTGACTCCTACCGAGGAAGTAAGGTCATAAAGTCTCAAGACAGTCAGAGCCCAGAAACAGACCAAGAGGTTAGTACTGCTTTAATTAACACTTTTAAGTTGTATTAAAAACTGAGGACATCGAGGTTGCGTAGCTGGACAATTCCATAACCTTTTCTAGTATTTTACATTGTTGGCCTGTGATGTGTGCTTCAAAAAATGCAAAGCATTTTTTTCAAATACTAAACAAACTTGCTAAAGTACTGCTAATCAGAAACTTTCTGAGATAGAAAGATTGCCTTTCTGTGGTTATCTACGATGTAGGGGGCCTTTGTAATTGCTTACATACTCTATCTATCTAGCTATCTCATTTTTCCTCCTCTAGCTATCTCATTTTTCCTCCTCTAACTTTCAAGTTGGAAAAAAAAGGCTTTTTTTTTTAAGGAAATACTTGTCAGGAAATTTGCAGTCTATGTAGCAAGAAATGGAACAAAGTGTTTGGGTACCAGGTAGAAAGGTCATAAACAAATCTTGCTTCTAGGCCATATTTTTGGACGTATTTGGTGGACGTCTTGCAGTGGAGCATGTGCAGAAGGTTCTCATAGCTTTGTATTTGCTGTACCAACATAAAATTTTTCATGGTTCATTTTCAGTCAGTTTTAACACAACAGCGTTAGTGCGAAAGTATCTTTTTCAGGACCAATTCAGAATGGTAAGTTAAAATGGATTTTGTAACATGCAAGTTTTTTCATTGTAGATGCAAATAGTTGAAGATTTGCATGTTGCTCGTGTTCAGAAGAGGGTGGCACCATCTGCAGTACAAACATACGGAGAACTTACAAGTATGGAAATAGATCTTCCTGAACAGAATTTAAATACTTCTGCTGGTATGTCATGATTTGGTGTTCCTTGGTATCTACTTGCAGCTAGTTATTACAGTCAGTTAATAATCTGAGCAGAGAGTACAAAACTGATTTTTTTCACAACTGTTTTTGTTTTTTCCTCTTTTTTTCCCCCCCCCCAGAGGCTTTTACTTCTGGTTTGAACATACTAGTGGTGATTGACACAAATATAATGATTAGTCACCTTGACTTTGTCAGATCCCTGAAATCTGCAAATATACCAGGTACGTGAGTACATGGTGGTCAATAAGGTGTTTTAAGAAAAAAATGGATGTTGTAACAACTTCAGGCTATGTAAGGAAAGACAAACTGGGGCTCCTTAGAAGGGCAGCAGATTGCAGACAGAGGCAGGTGGCTCCCACTGGAGAGGCGGGTTCTGAGAACCCAAAAATGCTATCTCCTGAGGAAAGGTGAGCTATTGAAGGTAGAACCTGCTATGCTTATAGCTACACACCTACAGAGAATTGTGGCTGATGTTCCCAAGAATATACCTGAGTTCTTAGAGGTAAATAAGCCTTACCTAGTGTAAGAACATACTTTGAAGCATTTAATCCATTACTGGTGGTAATGATGTTTTCTACTCACATTTACACTTTTTTTTTTTCTGGAGTCTAAAAACATTTAAAATCCAATAAGTAGTCAGTCAGGGCTATATTTCTGTCTTGGTAAAGGTCACAGAATTCACAAGATGTGTGAGCAATTTTGCAAGAATTCACGTTGCAGATTTGGGCTTTAATATGTTTAGAAGCTTTCAATGATTTCATGTTAGCAGGATTGGGATCGTGCATGTCAGCTGTTGGTAGGCATACTTGGAATCTATCTGAATACTTAGGATTCCTTGATGCTTTTAGCTAATGAATCTGTTTATTCCAGCCACCTGGAAAATAACTTTAATAAGGCCCCGAGTAATTTTCAAGAGTGCATCAGACTCTTCTCTTTCCCGTATTAGGAATGCTGTGGCATTATGTACACCGAGATGCCTTTTTTAGACTACTGCAGCTCCCAGTTTCCACCAGACGAATTCCATTCAGAAGGCTGCCAATTCCTGACCTATTTGTCACAAAGCAGATAGATCTTGATGTGATCTTTCAGAATTGTGTTCTTATAATGTGAATGAGAAAGAAAACAGTTGAAGTATTTGTTGTGGGCGGACTGACAGAACTGTCATTAAATTTTTTACTTACTCTATATTTGATATATAATAGTTTTAAAGCTCATACCATACTTACATGCAAATAAAACCATGGTCCAGTATCCATACTTCCTGTTCCTGGCTTAGGAGTATCGGCTGGCACTTAGCACAAACCATTCCTCCTTTTATTTGGTGATTTTTTTGGCACTGTGACTGTTGCAGTCATTCAGGTATTTTCAGCCTGTTACTTCAGCTGCTGTCACCTTGCTTTAACATCATACGGCAAGTGCGTGACAAGATAATTATTGCTGCAAATATATTATGTAATAACATTTCTACACACTTGTCAAAGAATTCTGCTGATTAAAATTGTGTCTTTCTTCTGTTTGCCTAATATTGTCATTTTTACATATAACCAATGTAGTGCTGGTCTGAGGTTAGGTCAGAAAGAGGGAACTTTGCCTTTTTCCGTTGTTCATTTTTTAATGCTAGATACTCTTGAATGTAGAATATGAACACTACTGGCAAAAAAGATAAGTGTGAACTTACATTAATGTGATGTTTGAATTCAAAAAATTATCTGTAGTAGTTTCGGTGGCTCTTCACAATGTCTTTTTTTTGGTTGTGTGTTGGTTCTTTTGTCTTCCAGGCATTGACAGACTTGCCTTAATAATTCCCTGGGTTGTTCTGCAAGAGTTGGACAACTTGAAGAAGGGGAAAGTGTTGCAGCATGTTTGGGACAAAGCTGTCCCAGCAGTTCAGTTCATCCACACGTGCCTCAAAAACCAAGATTCAAAACTGTGGGGGCAATCCATGCAGCTTGCTTCTCAAAAAATATGTAAGATATGTGCAGTCAATTTGGTTTTGGGTACTTAATCCCTGCAGTTCACCTAGTGTGAACCTTAGCATTACACTTTGAGTAAATACAGTCTTCGCTCTGGAGTTTGCTAATTAAAATTAGCTAATGGCTTACAGCAGCCTTCAGAGTGTATCCAAGGCTGCAGCATGCAAATGCCTTATTCAGATTAGTGTTTTGCTCATTATTGTTTTATCAGTTGTTTCTCTCTTGTAGCTACATTCATTGGTAAGTGGAGGATTACTTAAAGGAAATCCATCTAGTTACTGTTACCTGTGAGCTAAGGGTATGTTGTGTGCTTTTGCTTTTGACTGGCATTGGAAAATCTAACATGCTGAAACATACCCAAGAATTCATAAAGCTCAGATTTGTGTTTAGATTACACTTCTCTGTCCTTGTTTGGAGGAGTATTAAATTTAAAAGCCGTACCTTGGCTACTCTGAAGTATTTCTTCTGTTGAGTTACTTCTTAATATGTCAGCACTGTCTTAAATACATTTGCAGATAGCCTGCATGACGAGAACAACGATGATCGGGTTTTACAATGTTGTCTGCAGTATCAGAAGCTCTTTCCTCAAGCTGTTGTCATACTCTGCACGTGAGTTCCTGTGTGGTTTCAGGTCTTTTATGAGGCGTTAGTCTCATGCCAACACTATTTTCCAATCACGCCTTAAAATGAAGAGCTGTTTCTGAAAGAAGATTTGTGAAGAGCAGTCCCCCTCTTAAAAGCTAGAGGAGAAGGACAGAATAAAACACAAAGATTGTAGACCATCACCTTCATGTGCTTGAAGCCTGAAATAGAATTAAGTTTACTCAATATTGGATATTAAAACTTTTTAAAGCATAGATTTTTCAGCCTCTGTTCCAATTTCACATAAAAATGTTACTGGAGAGGCAAGATGGACACAGATTTGCCTCTGCTCTTGTCCTGTGAGGATAACAGCTGGCTTTTGACTGTTGATTCTCAATTTTATACAGGCCACATGAAGCTCGTTTTTCAGGTGCTAATGTTCCTTTACAGGGTCCATAAGAAGCTTGCTTTGGTCTTTTCCAGAACAATTTCCTGCGTAGTGTCAGCAGGGTTAAGACACTTGTCATCAGTTCATTTGTTAGTTGACACACATGGAACTGAGTTGTTGCTGAAATTACTGTTTCAATCACAGTATCAATAGGGCTATTGAGAATGATTTTAGATTTCTCTGAATAAAGAACAAGAGGTGACTTCAGAAGTGATTTTCATCTGAAACCCCCTTTATCCTTTATCAATGAACGCTCTGGGAATTTTTGAGAAAGCACTAGGATCCAGCTCTGTACTGCAGCTTTATGGCAGTTCTGCTGCACCAGTGTATACCTCAGGGTGGCGTCTGGAACAATGAGTTGGCCAGCAGAACTGTTCAAAAGTGTGTCAAAACCGAGAATTTATTGTAGCAATCAGATAAGGTATTTCCGGCCTAGAATTATTGCCATGGTTGCACTCTAAGACCACAGCAGCTAGGCATCATTACTGTAATATTTCTACCTGTTTTTTGATTAAAGCAAACCTGGAGCCAAAAGCATTTTTCATTATGTTTCTATTTTTTTTTGGAACAGATGCTCTAGTTAATTTTCTGGGTTAATTTTTTTGAACTGCTTCTAAATGCTTGAGAAGGAAATGAAGCTCGCAATATAAGCTTACCAGAGACATTTTTATTAGCATATTGTTTTTATTCCTTACAATTCTTACAATTGATTATCTTCTTGATTCTGTGATTCTCCTAGGGATGATAAAAATTTATGTAGTAAAGCCATTGTGAGTGAAGTCAAGGCATTCTGCAAAGCTGATTTGGTTACTGCTCTAGAGAATCTGAACATTGACAGGTGCCGGAACAGTGCTGAGCTGCAACAGTCAAAGCCTGGTAAGTTTGTTTAATGTGCACAAAACCATGTGGCTGGGTTTTGAGGCATGCGATAATCAGTGTAGGAGAGGAAGAATAGTTTCTACTGTAACTTCAGTTTTCCTATGCTTTGAATCCTTAGGAATCCTTTGTGGGGGGCCAGATGTTTTATTTTCGAAGGTAAATGGGTTTCTGAAAGTTTGAGACCTTTACTAAAAAATCTGTCTCTTAGAGTTCTAGGAAATTCAAATATGACACATTTTTGTTTTACAGAAAAAACACAGCATGAATTTCCCGTGTTTATAGTAATTTAAAAGGTGTCCTAAAATTTTTAGGGTTTAAAAGATGTTTTTCCAGTTGTGAGCCAGTTTGGGTTCTGTTTTTACTAGTTGTAAAATTCAGTATGCTAAGATTGTGAGATTTACATTTGGTGCTAATACCTTTACCTGCATCCCAAACAGCAGAACTTGCTTCTTGAGTTGCTTGTTTATTTTTCCAAAGACACAAATGCAGCTTGCAGTATTCAGATGTGATCGTCTTATACCTGCTGATAATCCCACTGGCTGTATATAACCTATGTTATTTAAGGAGAAGAGAAATGTGGAGTAAGATGGCAAATGAATAATGCTCTGGGGAAATGAATCATCTTGGTTAGTAGCTCATAATTCAAAATACCCACAGTAGAAGTGGGTATAACTAGACATGCTTGAAAACTAATTAGACGTGGCCCATCTGCCTTATAACATAAAATAAAATGCAGTCTGTCTTTTTGTATGGGGACAAGTTATTTGTGTATTGTCAACATAAATTAGATATAGAGACAATTGCAATAAGTACCTTTCGTTATCATTGGTTTGACAGATTCAGAACTTGACACAACAGAAGGAGGTGATGCTGATCTTATGGCGCAATTCCCAAATATGCTTCTAGACCTTGAAAAGAACTTGGGAGAAGCTTTATCTTGCATTTTGGAGACTGAAATGAAAATTGCATATGGAAACCTATGGATGGAGGTGATTTCTTATGTCATCTTCCTTGTTATTTCCAGTATTAAAGAGGTTTAAGTGTCTTTGGTATTTTAATTCTATTAGTACCTGTACTATACCAGACAGCAAAGCCATCTAGTTCACTAATGTGACAGTGAACAGTTTAGTGTTGAGTTCTGCTTCTTCACTTTATTTATTCATTTCAGAGTCGTTCATTTCATTAAAGGTTATTCTGTTTGACCAGTAACGACTGTGCAGTTTTTAATAATATGGTAACAGAGATGCTGGCTGTTGCGTGTGAATTTACAGAACTCTTTATATTGCATTAAATTTCTATTTCAGCTTCCCTAGCATGGTTAAATCATTGCATTGTAAATATGTCCCTCAAGAAATTGTTCCATCACATTTTAGGTAATATTGAGGCACTGTTGTTGCAGGCACTTCTTCCTCATCAGAACAGATGTTTTTACATACTGTGGGCATAAAATTGTTCTTAGCTGAATCAGTTACAGTGGAGATACAGAATTATGAGGGTGTTAACGAGACCCTCCAAACGCTCAGTCTTTCAAGTGTTGTTAACAGAAAATAAATGCTCACATATGAGGCACTTTCAAATTATCCATGCTTTGGTTTATATTCTGTTTTATGGCTGGTAAGAGTTAGTTAGAAGTTTAAATTTATTGCAGATAAGCCTTTGTGGCTTTCAAAAAAAAAAGATTAAGATCAATTGCCTGGGATGACAGTTGTGACTGTTGATTAGCTCTTACGCTTTATGGCACTTGTGATTAACTTAACTGATTCCTGTTAACTTCTTTCCGAAATCTAGTTTCACTTGGTAGTAGTAAATTGTATCGCAATATGCATATGTTTGCATATTTCCTCGCAGCTAGGAAAACTATTTATTTTTACTTTTTAACAATACTAGAAAATCAAAAGCATAGTTACTGTTGTTCAAGGTATTGTACACAGGTAGCACATTAAACCACTTGAGGAGATAACTGAAGTATTTGGAACTATGAGGAAGGAGGAACCAAAATCATGAAAATGTTGAAAGTTTGTTACTGTACACTGAACACTTCCTTGTGAGCATCTGTTTTAACCTGAATGAAGTCTTTTTTAATAGATAAACTTGTTCAATCTGAGGAATAATTGGAATTCTATTTCAGACAGCACAAACCATAACGTTACTGAAGAATAGAGCAGTTGTGAAATGTCTAGGAATATGTCTATATGAAAATCAGCCTTTGAATTTATAACATTTTGTCTTTCAGATACTGTATCTGAAGCCACCGTGGACATTAGCAAACTTGCTGAAGTGTTATAAAAAGCACTGGATGGCTGTTTTTGGTTACGTTGTGCGAAGGAGTTTACTTTCAACAGTTGAATGTCTCTCTGAACACCTTTGCACAGGTAAGAATCTCTGAGAACATTAATTGTAGACTTTTGAAGAAAACCCTCACTGTTCTGGTTTTAGTAGTTACAGAAGTAGGTACTTTGAAAAGACATGTACTCTGTGTTTAAATAGTAACATGTTCTATCCTTTATGCTTTTTTTTGAACTTAAGATTATCCAAATATTATCTACTTCTATACTGACCTGCAGTTTATTCCCCAGATAGGTGAGAAAATCCCAGGACTGTTTTTGTAGCCAGAATTGAGCTGAAGTTTTTGAGCTCTGAATTACATTTTTTAAAGGAGAGGAAAAAAGAAAGCCTGCCCCAGGGTCTTGTCCCAGGTGGTCTAAGTATCACCTGCAAAAAGCACGGAAATTATTTCTGAAGTGTTTCTTGCAATTTTCTTTTTTCTTTTTTTTTTTTTTATAATTCAGTATTTTGCTATCTTTTTTCTACTTTTTATACATGGACACTATAAGGCATGTGAAAATTTATTTCATACATCTCTATGTACCTGCAAAAATCACAGGAAAAACATTTTAATGAATATAGATATTAATGGTCACCAAAGTCTCTGAACTATTTTTAAAAAGCAAATAAACTTTCTCTCGCCTTTGCCACCATGTTATGTGTGGCCAAATGCACGTGCCAAATAAATTATGAAGGAGACTACTTAATGTGGTAGTTGAAGCCAGGGAGCTTTGTTTTAAAAAAAAGCCAACCTTAAAAAGCCCACAAAACCCCCTTTCAGTTATTTAAAGATGCCATCAGGAGTTTGATTTTAACATATATACCTCTTATACCTCTTCTGGGATATTGCTGTTGTACAGAACTATTTTAGATATGCCAGTTGATCATTTTTTTGGATCATGGGATAAATTTTGAAGACTTGATTAAGAAGGGAGCAGTCTTAACCTCACGCATGTTTTCCTTGAGAATGCTTTATCTAATTTAAGGCTTTTTATGTGCTTCAGCTAATCAAGATACTCGAGTATTAAATTTGCCTCCTAAGATTGATACTTCCTAATATCTAATGCTTTTTCTTAAAAAAAAAATCTCTATTTCCCATGTTAATGTCTAAATATCAGGTGAACTAGTTGACTCCTCAACAGCACGTATCTTGCTCCAGGAATCCAAAAAGTTACTCCATGCTTTCAGTTCAAGGTCAGACTATAATGGTGTGCTTCCCCAGGCATATGCTCAAGTGAATAAGCTCTACCAAACACTTACTGAGGTAAGAAGAGTTTTAGTATTTTTTCACTTAACCTCTTCTTGAAGTTGCTGCAGGTTCACATTACAAACTTGGCTTAGACTTCCAAATTATTCCCATACTTTCAACAATTTTTTTCAGGAAATGTCATTGCTAGAGTGTTTTCAAAATTCTTAGACCCCAGATTTAGCTTTTATTTTCATGTAGTAAATGTCTGCCTTTATGTATAGGCTTGGTAGACTATTTTCCTAATATAAATTTGTTAGTGTCAGGAGGGTTACTGAAGATGATTTAGCTGCTTTCCGGAAATATGGCTGAGTTTTCTGTTGCATTTGTAGCTGACAGAAAAGAGCTTGAAAGAGTGAAATTAAAATTGTTTTTTCTACTTCTGGTATTGATCATCACTACTATTATTCCTTGGTGTGTTATTTTAGCTTTCCTTATCTCGATAGCTCTGGCACTACACACGAGGAAAAGACTTGCTTGTGCTTTTTGATAGTTACTGGGAGGTGTCCCGACACCTTTTTAGTTCTGAGAAGTGCATCTTCACTTCCAGCTTATCTACGAGTTGCAGAAATTTCAGTGTTTTGCTTTGTGGTTACTGGTCTGTATATAATGGCATGTGAAACAGAATAACAAGCATGGATGACTTGAAATGTTTCTTTATGTGGGAAAGAATATCTCTAAAAAGATCTTTTTGGTTTTGGAGAAAGCTGAAGGGGAATGGAGAGGAAGGATGATCTGATGAGTCTCGATTGTCCCCTGTAGCCAGCTGCTTAGCCCCCAGCTCTATGCATGGTGCTGCCATAAGAGGGCGGCTTCATCTGAAAACCTGTTTTCTCCTGTCCTTGTCCTGAAAGGCGTCAGACTTCACACAGAGCTCTCCTTACACAGACTAGGTGGTGCCCGACAAGTTCGTTTATCAAATGGGTAGATGAATACTTTGTGCTGTTGCAGAGGCAGATGTGCCACCAGTTGTGGCGTAGGGAGTAAGAAGTTCTTTTTGCAAGGAGAGTGGCGAAACACTGAAAAAGGTTTCCCAGCCCTGGAAGCATTCAGGGGCAGGTTGGACGGGGCTCTGAGCAACCTCATCTAGTCAAAGAGGTCCCAGCTCACTGCAGGGGGTAGGTTAGATAGATGACTGCTAAAGATCCCTTCCATGCCAAAGCATTCTGTGATTGTATGATTCTGGTTTACATCAGCTTTATACCATGCCTAGGAAGCTTTGGCAAAGGGTTTCCCTTTGCTTCAGTTTTCTATCTGTAGGAATACCAATGCATACATGTAGGAAAAAGACTTGGCGATAGACCATAATAAAGGTGTTTATGACTAGAAGAATTCTGCCTCACGTTTTTGAGCATTGCTTAAAAAAAATAATCTAGAAGTGTTCAGCTTTTGTTATGCTAGGAATGAAATACATTCATTATTTGTTTGCTAAACTGTTTTATAAGGTGAGGTCAGACAGCGAGCAGAATATAACAGAAAATGCTGTATGTGAAAAAATGGAAGCAATGACACCGATTCAGCAAAACACTGAAGAAAAGTTACATTCAAGCTTTCATGTGGCTCAAGAAAACAGGCACCAGGAAATCTGGTCAGTCCTTGAAGGTGTATGGAGTACAATAAACTTGTACAGGTATGATGTGCTGAAGAAGTTCAGAACTTCAACATAACCTTACATAATTTTCAAACAAACACACTTTAGAAATTGCTTTCCCCCATTTTAGAGAAGCAGCTATTAGTAATTAATCAAAATCAATTAAAAAAATCTCACAACTTGTCACACAAAAAAGTTAGGAGCATGCCAGTAGCTGTGTGGATGCCATCAGTGATCTGTCTAGTCTGCTGCTCTTTTTCTGGATGGTGGCTCAAGTAAGTTGCCTTAGAGAATGGCCTTGAAAACCTGAGAGCCACAAATGCGAGACATCCATGGAAATCTCGTCTTTCTCCATAAATAAGAGGCATTCAAGCTCTAAGTTTTCTTGTGCTTCTTTTCTTTCCAAATCCTGTGGAGCTGTACTAGCTTATGCAAAATTGTTTACTTTTTTAAAAAAAACTCAATCAATTTGAAATGTGATAAATTTTCTTGTTAAGCAAAATCCTTCACTCTGAAATTCTAATGCAGAATCCAGTGATGAATTTCCTTTCCCATATAAATTCAGAATTGCAGGAAATGAATCCCCCTCCATCTAGATGTTTTACCTTTTTTTTTACTATTTTTTAAAAATGTGCCTGAAAAATGATTGAGTTGCCATACTTCTGGATTTTGTGGTAGGATCGAAATAGATACTGCAACTGAGCTTTGTAACGAAAATGAACTGAACTGCTCACCTGTTAAGGACCATGCTGGGAAAAGGGGATAAAAATTTTAAAATCAAAGATCATTTCACACTCTTCTTGCTCACTTCAAGAAAATACTACTTGCCCTCGTACCCATGGGGATCATTTTTTTAATAGTCAAAATAGCTGCATACAGTAGATACTGTGTTGCTTCGAATTTTGAGGACTTTTTATTAACTGCTTTTCAATGTCTCTGTTTCTTTTTAACATCAGTACTGAAATTTTCCAAAAGTTGGACTCCAGCACCATAGCTGTGACTGCAAAGGCTTCATTTGAAGAAGCTTTTTTAGGCCTGCAGAAACTGTTGGCAGCTGTGAACGATGTCCGAGAAGGCATCAGTAGGTAAGCATTTCAGCTTGTCAGAAAAGCTGGTGATAGTAACAGTCACCTAAAGTCACTGAAATCTTTTGATGCCAAATTAAAATTTATTATTTGTGCATACTTAGATGATTTTCAATAATAAAAAGGCTGTCGAGTAAAAAACGGTATCGAGGCTACCTAGAACCGTTTCTTGGCGGCAAAAGAATAAGGAACTGTTGTGGACATTTGCACCCCTTGTAGTGAATTTTCACCCCTTGTAGTGAATTTTCTCTTTTATGTCTTGGAGTTTGTTCTCTAGTTTTTGATAACGGGCCACTCGCTTCTGCTCAGAGTGTAACCAGAGCTATGACATGATTAATGCATCAGCTCTGACGGCAAGAACTTTGAATAATTCAGAACGTTGTTTTTTCAGATGCGAGACCCACTGGAATTAGGGTGAATTTCCAATACAGAGGAGGACATAAAGTTGTGGGATTTCACTCTTATCAATGTTAGAGTATTCTTCATGAGTCTGAACCTGTATTGCAGCAGTAAGAATGGCAATCAATGAGCTGGACTCTCAATTTAGGAAAGATAATATTCCCTCTGCCTTCTTTCTCACTTTTTTAAGAGTGCAGAATAATAAAAATGAAGCTTTGGAAGAAATAAGGTTTCTCCTGTGTATCATCTAGACTTAGTCCTTTCTTTGTAGCAGTGAGCTTTATTCTTGGGCAGGAGCAGCCGTGGAAGAATGCTTTAAATTGTCCCTGTCACGAGTGTGGAGTTCCTTGGTTTCCCGTTGACTTTAAGGAGTGTTCTTAGGAACTGGTTTGTAATTGTGGTTAAGTTGCTGTAACTGCTGTGAGCACCCTAAAATGTTCTGGGCCGTGAATGTGTGTAGCCAGAGGTGTTGGATTTGGGGAAATGACTCCACTTGGCATGCTTTTTTTTATGCATAATAGTGATGCAAATAGGGCAGAAAACTGTGAATTAGCTGCATCCGAACAATTGGGCCTGCCTTGCACATTAACAGTCTGCCTCTTAAGTAAATATCGAGGTATATTACATTCTTCCTGGAAGCTGTTACAGCTGTGTTAGCTTTGTTAGAGATTATTAAATAAGCATTTAATTTTCATCTGTCATTCTGCCATAGTAGGAAGCTTTTAAACTTGCATTATCAGTACTTAGCGCTGTTCATTACAAGTTTTTCTGAAGGCTCACAGTCCTTACGCGAATGTTGTCAAAACTGTTCCTTCCAGGTACAGACATATGGTTATCCCAGTCTTAAAGTGTGAGATCTGGCCACTTGAGGCACTTCAAAAGTCTGGAGCTCTGTCACTTGGGACTAGAACTATTTTTCATCTGTAACTGCTAGAGTTGTGGTGTTGGGTTTTTTTTCAGTAGAATCATGCAAATATTTGCTTCATTTGTCATCACTCCTAAATGAGTTTTCATTGTTTTTAAATTTTTTTTTAATTAACAGTCAAAAGAATGTTTCTTTAATTAAAGCGTTGCCATAAAATGTGGTTTCTATAAGTCCCAAACAAGCTTCATGGTGCACTCAGGTGAAGTAGTGTGTTCACATTAGCATCGTATCTGATAGATTACTAGATAGACAAGGCAGATACATTACAAATTACAGCCTGGGAGCCAAAATGAACCTGAAAGACCATCCCTGCATCAGTAGTGTTACAGCCTAAGTTCTAGGTCTGATTTTTTTTCTGTAGAGTGCACTGATAGTGGGCTAAATCCTTTCAAAGAATGGTTGTCTTTCTTTCAAAGGTAGATGGCATAAATATCATGAAAGTAGAAACAGAGGGAAATGGGTGAGGATGTGACCCAGAGCTGCTTGGTGCTTATCAATTTATTTTCATTGCTGATTACTTTTTTGTCTCTAAATGAACCGTTTTCATAAAGCAGGTTGCTGCTAAACTTGGTTCTTTTCATTCTAGGCCTAAAGCTCTTGCAAGAAATGCTGTTGTGTTTGTTTATGATATGTGTTGGATGAGATTGAGTGAGAATATGGTGCTTCAAGGTCGTTATGTGTGTGTTACAGAGGTGTTTCATTAAAACTTATGTAGTAACAAAAGATAGTTCGTATTTCTTTTAGTGAAAGCTACTTACCTCCTGTATTTTCCCTCATGGGAGAGCTCTGTAAAAAATACAGAGGTCTAACATGGCATCAGAGAAAGCTCTTTTACAAATGGTAGACTCTCTTGATTAGGGCCATTAGAGTATCTGGAGCAAAGATAAACAGGATTATGTCATTTGACTTTATTTGGAATGGAAAGGCTATTTTTGGTTCCACATGATTACCATGACACTCAGTGACTTTAATGAAATGGCTTTAAAAATGCCTTCTGTACTTTAGAAAAATCTCTTCTCCACCATTAAACTGAAATACGCTATTTGTGCATCCAGGATGATTCTTGGACTGGAGTAATTTTTCGTGCACGGTTGTATTTGGAAATTTGCCTGCTCTGAGTTCGTTCTGCAGATTTGCAGTAGAGGGCGTCACGGAGCAAGAAATGCGGAGGGACTAGAAGTCTCCCTGTACTCTTATGGTTTAGTCTTCAGATTCGAGACTTCTGAGTAGGTTTTCAGAAGAGTCAGAAACCGAGTTTATGAGTCGTTGTAGGTTTAGGTGTATTACAGGGTGTTAAAACATAAAGTCTGAAGTTTTCAAAAGCGTTTTTCCAAGGTTGTTCAGCCTTTCCAAAACTGGAGAGTCTTATTTCTTTTTCCTGACTTTTGAAAAAATTACTTACAGTGAGTTAGAGTAGATCTAATGGTGTGATTGCAGAAGAGGAGGCATCTTGAGAAAAAGTAGTGGAAAAATTCTAGCTTGAATATTTGGAGGTAATACAGCTTTTAGTGATAAAATGCCAGTGTTTACTGTTTAACCTTCTAGTCCTTAAAAAGGCAAGAAAAAAAGAGCTGTTTCGTGGAAGGGTTCTTATGAACATTTTTTTGTGTCTTCCCCTATTTTTGTAACTTTTGTTGTACTATACCGATTCTTAATTTTTCTTTGCTTCTTCCTCTAACAATGTTGGCGTGGGACGGTATTTATCATACAAAATGCTGCATGCCATCAGCGTTTTACAGTACTTCAGCTGTAAAATAAAGACAATAACAGGTACAGTTAGCAACTGTGGATAACCTACCTCCTTTTGGCAGCCGGAATTGATT